AGCCGCAGCTAGAACAGCAACAGCAAACAGCTAGAGCAGGAGCAGCAACAGCATCTAGTGCAGCAGCAGCTATAGCAACAAAAACACGCGTAGCAGCGGCATTAACTAGACAAGAAGCAGAAGCAGCTAGCTCAGCAGCAACAGGAGCAGTTCTACCTCTGTCGAGAGCGAAAGTCTTGCGAGTACGATGGCAACGTTCTGAGCGCGTTTACTGGAGATGAGTTTTGTTCTCTGCACCTCGGGTTTCTTATTCGGCCGTTTTGCTGCTGCTGCTGCTGCTGCTGGCTGCGTACGGGAGAAGAGGCGGCTCAGTGCAGCCCCGTCCACTAAGGCGGAGGGCCCCAGGGGCCCCAAGGCCGGCATCTCACTAAACACCGTACCCTGTACACAGACGTAGCAACACACATCAAGCCACCTCCTGCTGCTGCTAGTGCTGATGCAAGTGCTGGTGATGTTGATGTCGGTGGTGCTATTGCTGCTGCTCCCACTGGCGCTGCTGCTGCTGTTTCTGCTGTTGCAGGTAGGGATCAAGGCAACACAACCGCAGAGACGACCCACCCTGCTGCTGCCACTGGTGCTGCTGCTCTCAGGTAGACTGCAGCACCCCAAGAGGGAGCACNACGACCCACCCTGCTGCTGCCACTGGTGCTGCTGCTCTCAGGTAGACTGCAGCACCCCAAGAGGGAGCACCAGCAGCAGCAGCAGTAGCGGCAGCAGTCGCCTGCAAGGCCAGCCATCGCAGCTACAGCAGCAAGAACGGCTACACGGTACAGCAACAAGAGCAGCAGCAGCAGTAGCAGCAGCAGGTGGAACACCAAGATTCGTACGTGGATTTTGTCTCCTGTCAGTGCTTTCCAGTGTATCTTGCGACCTAGAGGCAGCGCTGCTTCTGACGCAGCTTGCGTCTCCGTTGCTGCTGCTGCTGCTGCTTTTGGAGGTGGAGGCCGACGCCCTGGGGCACACTTTGGTGGGGGCCCCGCAGCCTTCCCTTTGGGCATCGCCGGGGGAGGCCCCGGGGCCTTGGCCTTCTTACCCGCTGCTGCTGCTGCTTTAGATGCTGCTGCAGGTGGTCGGCCTGGAGGTGGTGGCCCCGGAGCCTTGCCCTTTGGCCCAGGAGGCGCCGCTTTGGCTCCTGTTGCTGTTGCTGCTGGTGTTGTTGCTTCAGCTGCTGCTGCCCTCTTAGGTTCCGCCTTAGGAGGGGGCCGAAGGCCACGTGGAGGGGGCCCCGGCGGCTTGGCCTTGTGCAGCACAGCAGCAGGAGCAGGAGCAACTGCAGTAGCGAGTTGGGGTGGGACAGCCTCGACGGTCGCCGCCACTACCGTTGCTGAGGGTACTGCTGCTGCTGCTGCTGCGTCTTTGTCTGGAAGCACAGCTGCAGCAGCAGTAGAGACGCGATCACCTCCTGCTCCGCATGCAGCAGCAACAGCTGCATCAGGGGGAAGGGCCAGATGCAGAAGACGCCCGTCGGGGAGACGCACAGCAAGAACTTGACCTGTGGGCGCTCCTGTTGCTGCTGCTGCCGTTGCTGCTGCCGTTGCTGTTACGGCTCCTGCTGCTGTCGTTGCTGTTCCTGCCGTAGCTGTTGTCGTTGCTCTTCCTGTCACAGTTGCTGCTGTTGCTATTGCGGTTGCGGTAGTTGTTGCGCCTCCAATGTCTGCTGGTAGTGTTGGCTCTGCTGCTGCTGCTGGCTCCGCTGCTTCTGCACGCGGCTCCGACCCCACCAGGCCCCTATTCAAACTCTTCACACCTTGGGCCCCTTCCTCATCGCCCTCGGGTTGTCGCTGGTGTTGCTGCTCGTGCTGCTGTTGCTGTTGCTGCTGCTGCTGTTCTGCTGCTGCGGCAAATGAAGGCAAGGAAGACCGCGCAGCAGCAGAGGATGTGGGAGCNGCTGCTGCTGTTCTGCTGCTGCGGCAAATGAAGGCAAGGAAGACCGCGCAGCAGCAGAGGATGTGGGAGCTGCTACAGAAGTTCCTGATACAGCAGCACAACCTACAGCAGCAGGACCTACTGCTCCCGGAGCGGTTGCAGCCACAGCTGCGGAAGCGGCCGCAGCAGCAGGTGTTGCAGCAGCAGCAGCAGCACCCGCACTGACAGGTACGTCACCCTCCGCAAGCATCATTGCTACCTTAGTGAAGCCCCCAGCAGCAGCTTTTGCTGCGACAAATGTCTTATCTTCAAGTGCAGCAGCAGCAGCAGTAGAAGCCGCTATACCAGGCGGCATATACTGTGAGGCAGCCACACTACTCGCTGCTGCAGCTGGTACTGGTAGTGCTGCTGCAGCGGCAGCCGCTACAGCAGCAGCAGCAGCGCTACCGGGACCTGAACTGTCTGCGTTTTCCTCTGCTAGGCTTGCATGCACCACGACCTCCGCTGCATGCGGACTGGTAGCAGTAGCAGGTTCTGCTGCTGTGGATGTTGCTGCTGCAGCAGCAGCAGCTGCTGCTGCTTTGGGCCCTCCAGAAGCAATAGGAACAAGCATATCCGACTGGCGTGCAGGTAGGAACTGCTGCTGCTGTGGCTGTCGCTGCTGCTGCTGCTGCTGCTGCTGCTGCTGTATCTGGTGCTCTAGACGATCCCACGGGGACACAGTGGCAGCAACATTCTCTACAACAGCAGGAGGAGAATTAGATGTTGCTGCAGCAATTGTCGGGCCGACAAGGATATCTGCTGCGCCGACGAAAGAGGAGAACGCCACG